AGATCGGGGGAGGCAAACTGATGTGGTGGTTCATGGCACTGCAGACCGCACAAGCCCAGGAAACTGAACAAACTTTAGTGCATACCCTCTCGTCGAAACAACTTACTGTGACCCAAACAAAAGTTCCACAACATGGGTCTGGTTTCAACACAACTGACGCCGACCCGGTCACCTTCACTGCTTCTTTCGAATCGGTGCTTCGTCAAACCGGCGTCACAGACGAGGCAAAGGACCTACTTCGACACCAAGTCTCCTCACTTCTCATGTCACACCCGAAAACCCATTCCCTGAGAAAGGATGAACGAAAGGCCCTAAGGGAGCTGAAAGCGGACACCGAAATAGTTATTCTGCCTGCTGACAAAGGCCGGTCAACCGTTATCCTTGACACAAAGCCCTCATGCTCCTCAACGATCGGGAGTCCTACAAATTCAGCGACGCCGCCAGTCTGAAGTCCCTAGTGGCAAAGATTAACAGAATTCTGGCTCGACTAAAGAAGGACAAGGTCATCACCGTCAAAGACTGGCATATGGCAACGCCCACAGAAGCCACTATGGCGAGATTCTACGGTCTCCCAAAAGTACACAAGCCAGATGTTCCCCTCCGTCCAATCGTCTCACTCCGAGGCACATCCACATATGGGCTTGCAAGCTGACTATCTCAGAAGCTAAGATTTCTAACTGCAGACTCACAAACAACGGTGCACTCAGCAGAACAATTCCTTGGCAGTCACGATCGAACCGAATGAGAGGATGGTGTCTTTTGACGTCGTCTCACACTTCACGTCCATACCACAGGCTCTTGTGGTCCGAACGCCCGGCGCCATGGTATATTAAAGTTACGACGGGGCGACGGCCAGCCCACAGTTCAGGATCTCATAGAACTTATGGGGCACTGCCTTCGAAGAAATAACATACGAGCAAATGAAGGAAACTCCAATGGGTTCACCAATCTCCGGGCTCATTGTCGAGGCGATTCTGCAAAAATTCGAGAGACGACTATTCGAGAAGTACAAACCCAAGTTCTGAGCACGCTACGTTGATGACACCTTTGAACTCATGGATCGGGATACAATCAACTACCATGCGGAACTACTAAGCTCAAGCATTCCCGATCTACAATTCACGATGGAAGAAGAAGTAGGGGACAAACTTCCATTCTTGGATGTTCTCGTCTGTCGTCAACCAAACGACAAACTAGCGACGTCGGTCTACAGAAAACCGACGAACATGCTGCAAATGTTCAGTTACAACAGTAACCTCCCGCTACAACACAAAAGATGCTAGGTCCGCTCAATATACCGACGGTTGAAAACTCATTGCAGCACGCAATCGCCAAAATGAACGAGATAATGCGCCTCCAAGAAGTCTTCAGAGCAAACGGCTTTCCGCGAACATTCGTTGAACGGGGCTGAAAGCAACCAAGAAAGCGGAATGAAAAAACTGTCAGCCAAAATCGTGGCGGAGCATTCCATACGTGAAAGGGATCTCCGAAGCCGTGGCTAGATCCCTCGCGCCGCTCGGAATAGGCGTTGCCCACGGGCCTGACTCAGCAATCCGCCGACAAGTGATGCGGCCAAAAGATCCCATCCCCAAGCCGGAGACGTCGGCCGTTGTCTACCGACTTCAGTGCAGCTGCGGAAGGTGCAGCTATGTTAGGGAAACAGGCCGACGGCTGAAAACGCGAATGCACGAGCATAAATCGGCCGTGCGAAGGTTGGACGCAGAGTCGGAGGTAGCAAACAATGTCGCACAAATAGGATACATGTTAAACTTTGGGGCCGTTGAGATTTTGGGCCGGGACGGTGATCATACGGCAAGGCAAGTGCAAGAAGCCTGGATGTCCACCGACTGCTCTGTCAACCTCCATATCAATTTGCCTTCCCCTATCCGTCCTTACGAACCTTCTCGACGGGGGACCGTCACGGCGCGGGACGATCGGGGCCGTCAACTATCTCTGCGGCCGACGGGGGCGGTTCAGTTCACGGTGACATGCGGGTTGGATGCAGCCACACAGGCGGCATTGGCCGGTCACGCATTAAACAAAGTGCTCCGTATAAGGAGAGCTGTGCGCATGGATTCCCAGTCTCTGAAGATTGGTAAACGAAACAACTACTCGAAACGTCGGACCTCAAATAAATCCCCCACCGGTGAACGCCTCTTCTTCTTCTTCATCTTCTTCTTCTTATTATTATTATTATTCTTTTAGTATTATCAGGGAACCTAGTCTCAATAATCCTTGATATGCTACTGGCTTCTTTGTCCACCGAACCAAACATTTATGTTGCTTGCAGCTTTGCTTGTATTGCCGCCATTCGCGATTTATTTTTCCATTATAGTCGAAATTCCGCCAAATTTCTCGGAATCACTGCCTATGAAGGTACCTTTTCCTACTCATTGTGAGTAAATTTCATCTTAGTGAAATTGCATACGACAGGCAAACTTCACCAGGGTGTCGTGTAAGAAAAACCTTTGCGTTATACCCCACTCGAATTAGTATTATGCAATAAATGAAATTATTTTGGCACAGAATGCAGAGTGTAGCACAAGTTGAGAGCAGAAATCATGCCCAGGCTGCCACCGCCCAGTCATGAAAGAGAGATCTGGAGTCGTAGCTCTCAAAATGCATAGACACGGTTGTAATATGCATACCTGCAATTCCTTAACCAAGTCCAAGTGCTCATCGCACCTCGGCAGCAGGACTGTTCGGATGTACTCTCCGTTTTTGTTTATCATGTTGAAAAGATCTTCTGTCATCCCCACTGGAGAGCAAAAAGGGTGCTCGTCAGTCAGATAGGCAACCAGTAGTATGCGCACATCGTCAATATTGCCTCCTTTCCGTGTTAGACTAGTTAAGTTGTGATTACTAAACCCGGCATTCCCTATGTGTCAGGTGGTCACAGAATCACTGCGCTTCTCCGACAAATGAACTCTACTAACCTTGTTACTGTATTCGTTTTAGTAGTATTTATATTGGGGCTAAAGAGATTCATGGCTCACCCAATGCAGTCCGTCCATAGCGCACAAGACGGCATTAGAGGATGTAATAAGTTTTCTTGCCCTTGACAACCCTTTTAAGCCACAGTTACTGTGCATCCTCGCGCAAGCCCTAAGACCACACCCGGATTTGCCAAGATATAGTGCGTGGTGTATTTTCTATTCCGACATAAAGTTATGGTAGACGTATGCACTATAAAATCAGGGATTCGCTGACGCGTCATAACATTCGTTCTAAGGATAGAGCAGACAGATAACATAATGTTTAAAAGGCACCCTCGCGAAATCTGATTATCTGGAAGGACCTGTTGTGGAGCGGAGTGAGTCCCTGCAACAACCATGGACAGAACGGCTGTTTGCAGGATAGTCTGTTGTGATGTCGCCGTCCTTTGAGAGGCAAAAACATGAACAGGCCATTTTAGCTGCTCAAACGACCTCTTGTGTCAATTTAACGAATGCTTTATCTGATTACATGGTCGGCGATTACTTGCCCGTCTGTGCCATCTCCAACCAGTCTAGCAAGGCGTCAAAGACTGTCAAACATCATTGCTGGTTTGTCGACCCGAAAGCAGGCATTCTGCTGACTTTCTATGTTCTCAGCTAGGCACGAAAATGTCGGGCACGCCGCTAATGACAGGAGATGATAAATAAAAAAATATAAACTCACCACTTGGTTGTATGGAGGCCAGGGTTAATTTTCGGATATCAATGAATGATGGTCCAGCAGGTCTTCGTTCAATCCGTCTTTTTATTGCCTTTGAGTACTCCGCTGCTGTTTGGGAAACTGAATTTTTTAATAGGATAACTAATTAGACATGCATGAGCGAGCAACACTGTGAGTTTTTTTAAATGAACGATTACTAATACGAAACATCATAAGGGCTTTGTACGTGCCCATATCTAGATGGACTGCACTCGTTAATAAGCATGGTAGAGAAGCAGTAATCCTGTCCATGACGCCGATTTTTCTTCCAGTAGCTAATTCCTATGTAAGAGAGGGAAATTTAAGCAGTTTCGGCAAGTGAATATTGGTTCGAAATGAATTATTCAAAATCTACCAAAACATCTATTAGTTAAGCAAGCCTGGAAGTCATCTGATCAATTCTAGATGTACAACTTAGGACATCCTGCTTACCGTATCAGATTTGGTGTATTCCAGACATCTGTTAAGCGGGGAACACAACCCAAATGGGATAAAACTCACTTTTCCCTGTGGGGCCTCTTGGCTCGTGTGGCTAGAGCGTTAGCTGTACTAAGGCCTTACCCTTGCTGTCTTGGGTTTGAATACCACCGAGAAGCCGAGTTTTCACAACGGGGTCAAGATGAATTATTCAACATCTGCAAAGACATCTAAAAGTCATATTTCAGAAACCAGTACTCGAGATCTATAGTTATTTAGTCTAACGCTTTACCAATTCAGCTACTGATCATTGTCCTGTTGGTTGCGTTTGGGTTTTGCTGTATATAGATTGAGGCTCAAAACTGCTTAATTGGAAATACTAGCCTGTATAATAAATGGCTCATATTTTCTAATTTTTGATATTTCTCTGTCTTTAAAGAAATTTTTTGCGTTAAATTAACTCCTTATTCACAGACTGTTGACTTAGCAGAGAGACAAAACAGATGAAACCGAAATGAATGAGAATGAGTTTTCTCCTGTGGTCTAAGGGGACCTACGGTGCCCAAAAGATGTTATAAACGTGCCAAAAGACGTGTCGTGAGCTGTACGTTGAGATTTATACTTCTTGTTGGCATTACTACTCACAGGCCTCTTAGAGGAACGGACGGCGAATAAATAGCCGATACAAGCCAGGATGCGAGTTCCAGGAAGTAGCTGATAAGAAGAAGCTATCGCTGGAGCAAGGGCCTTATTGGCCTACTCGGATCACTGTGTGGCTGCTTGTAAAACTGATGGTTTGTATCTTGCGGGTTCAATCACCTTGCACCCTTCAGTTCCTATGGTATAATACCGGTCATAATGCAATGTTTAAATCAGTCTCTACCATGTTAGGGACGCTCACCGATAGTTTTTACGGAGCTCGCTCGTTCTGTTGTGCCTCATGCACTCTCTATCGAGCCCAACCAGCAGTCGCACAGCGGCGCATGATAAAGGCAGAATGGCATTACCGACACAGACAAGGGAGACTGGAATGGCCATTTCTGGCTTATTAGCCGTCGTCAACCAGTCATACCCAACCCCGAAGTGTGACACACCCGAGGCTCGAACTCGCGACCTGTTTGTCAGAAGTCCACGCCTCTAACCACTGAGCCACGAGCCCGTTGCCCTGTCGGCTTTCGATCGTTGTCTCTACTGTTATTTCGCCAGTAGATGCGTTTCCGTAATCTAGGCGACCCCGCTGGTTACTGAGACTCCCGGCTACGTCCGAGTCTTGATTGTATGTGTCGTAATGCTGAAATGAAATCCAAAGATACCCCAGTCTGTGGTTTTTTTCCAAAGAAATGAAAAGTATTCCTGCCTTTTGCCCAACCTTCACAACCTGCCCCTAACAGAACACAACCAAGATTTTACACAAAGGGGATTCACACACACACATATATAGTATTACCGACAAAGACAAGGGAGACTGGAATGGCCATTTCTGACTTATTAGCCATCGACAGCCAGAGTGAGTTCCTTAGAAACGACCGGTGAGCGCCCCCTACCATTGTATATTCCAGATCGAATCCGAAAGGACAACGAGTGCATGACTCAGTGGTATGAGGCGTTGAAATTCCAACTAAAAGGTCGCGAGTTGGAGTCCCAGGTGCTCCACACTTCAGGGTTGGGTATGACTGGCTGACGACGGCTAATAAGCCAGAAATTGCCATGCCAGTCTCCCTTGTCTATGTAGGTAATATCATTCTGCCTATATCATGCGCCGCTGTGCGGCTGCTGGTTGGGCTTGAGAGAGAGCCCGTAAGGCTCAACAGATCAAGTGAGTTCCTTAGAAACAATCGGTGAGCGTCCCTCTAGCATTATATATACGGACATAGAGAAGCTAAATAAGACGCATAATATGACAGCAGAGTTTCGGATGTATCGACTGCCTTCGCCAGATAGTAGAGTCGCAAATATCTTTATGCGCAATGAAGTGCGAACTCCTACAGCAGAAGTCATAAAAATAAAAATACTAATAATAATATAAGTGACCATCAACATCGTCAGCCTTTTTATCGTCACTATGGTCATCAGTAACAGCGACATAAGGCCACATTTCTGAACTGTGACTCTCCACTGAACCACTTTTATCAGGGCAGATAAACGGACTGCATCATTGAAATGGGCGTGAAACTATTTAATGACCTTAGTAGAACAAACTGGATCTTCCTTCTGACAGTAGGAATAGCGATTAGTACCTTAACTAGACATTTTCTCAGGCTACAAGGTGTAACGTGCTCTGAACCAATTCGCACAAGGGTGTTTTCCATGCCAGCCATTACTGCAACCTTGCATAAGCAATAGTTTATACTCGAGGACACACTTAGACACCTCAATCGACGTCTTTAACGTCTCACATCATACCGCAAATGTATACAGTAAGTGATCCCGTCACAGTGATACATTTGTTTTCGGGTGGTAAATTGAACGTCTTGGCCCTCGTTAATGTGCGTTGAGTCTGCATGTCATCACTTATGTTTGCAAATAATTGAAAAAATTTGTCCACCGTATTCAGAGAAACCGACTTATAATCGGCAAAGACAGACGTAAAATTGTTGAAGACTGGTAAGAACATACGGAAGACAACCCGTTGCCATTTGTCTCCCAGCTCCGACACGACCGAAACGGCATCATCAAAGTCCCCTGGTGCCATTTTCCAAGTTGGTATAGATGAGTTCTCGAGGTTAATATTCACATGGTGGTTTTTGAGTCTGTTTATAAAGGCGAGTCTTTCCCGGGCAGCATCGGTGGATAGGGCGTCCTCCACTGACTCAGATGCTTTTAGTGGCGGGAAAACTGCGGTTGTCGTTTGACCAAAATACGAGGCATTTAAGTTTTCCAGTTGATTCCCCGTCAGTGATAATTCTATGCTCAAGCTGCGAAACCTCGTATTTTCTGAGAGACTCCTTTCAAAGGTGCTGATGCGTTGTCCAAGAGCTCCCAAGTCTGATGGGTGAAAATGAAGGCAAATTAGGCAAATGACTTTTTCAAAATCAGCTTTTTCCTTAACCAGAGTCCTAACCCCGACTCATTCAACAACTCCACCTCAGATATTATCCGTTATTTTAAGGGACAATAACCACCCCTTGTAAAAATATTTCGTTATACATTCAAACAGTAAGCTGACTTCTGGCTAGTTCATATCACGAAATCTCTGATTCATTTTTTCTTATCTTATTAACAGGTGGCAAAATGCCCGCAAACTGTTGGATAAGTCGGTTGATGCGTACTGCTTGCGGCATCAATCAGCAGTTGCTACTTATACGGGCGAAGAGTAGATAACCAAGACAGCCGGTGGGAAGCACTCCAATCTTCGTTACGCTGAACATTCTGCTGGATTTGCTGTCATTATGGCTGATGAGTAGCGTCCAATAAACCCTACCCTCAGTAAAGAGCTGGAGGAAACGCTTGAATTGCAGTTGCCGATTTCTGTAGCCCTAAAACATATTGGGCCACTTTTCCGCTTTGATGCACCGAGGTGCGTACTAATGCAATACTTACTCTGTTTTTTTTCCACTTCACTCCGCTAGCTTATCTCCGACTGACCTGAAGACTTGGTTTATCCGCGCAGTCGCCTTATCATGCGTCACAGAAAAATATTATGAAAACACTGTACTAATACTATTTTAGTAGCACTTATGTGTTGTATATACTCACGGCGTGAGGGAGGATCGTTGCCTCCACACCCCTAAATGAGAATAGTGGGACGATTGGCAGTAACGAGCATTCGAAAGCCCAAACGATGTGGGTGGGAAGGCGATTTTCTGAGTCGGAATTTCCTTGCCTATTCAAGAGGTGTTTTCCAGTAATATGCACCGCCGGTCTACGTTTTGATGCTCCTCCTTCCCCTCTCTCTCTCTTTCTCACTTATTCGACTCAGAGATACAGACTTCACTTCACTCACAGTCTACGACTTCTAGCCTAGTATATACAGTATATGATATAGTAGTCCACACAATGGCACAAAAGTAGTGAATTTACGCTTAGCATGGACACTAACGCTTGGGCAACCGAGTGCGTGCGCCCTCAACTTACCGTCCTTTGCCGTCTGCTCTGGCAAATCTTCCCTTGCTCGCTCAATGGCAGCTCCCCCTTCAGCGAGGCTTGTTTCTGGGAAGTTTTCCGTCACACTTGGAATTGCAACTGGCATGACCTGCAGCTGACCAGACACATACAGACTGTCCGTCAGAGGGGAACCTGTCTTCTCCACAGTCAACGGTGGCAGTCTCGATTGCGAAAGCCCTCCCGCGGGCAGAAAAGTCTGGAGGGAAGACCGCAACTTTCTGGGCGCACCGAACTGATCCGCACGCCCGCCAGTGTAGAGTGCGGGACCTGATCCATCGGCCGCCGCGAATCCGAACATGAAGGAGGCTGCCAAGTGCCCTTGTGTGGCTGAAGGCCTCCGAGGAAAACCGGACTGGAAGTCCCCAGTTAGACGCCGAGGCCGTTTGGGAAACCCATGTGGCGGCTCGTTAGCCCCCTCCTTGAAGGCCAGATCTCCTCCGAGAATAAGGGTGGAGTAGGCAGCCCTCGGCGCAGCGACGGAACTCATCGCCCTCTGTTTTTCCGTGACAGCTGAGACGTCTCTCAGTAGCTGAACATGACTGGCCTCGCCAGGCACGGCAGCGATCGTCTGACCGACTTCCTGTGTCGTCATTTTGTCGTGCGTCTGAGCATTACTCAGCGCTTGCAGTGTCCTTTCTGCCGAGAGTTCCGGGAGCAGTAATGTTGGCTCGGTTGACAGCCCACCGGCAGCAATTACTATGGTGTCTTCGGGCTCCCTGAAGTAACTTCTATGCTTTTCTCTCACTGGCGTTTCGAGGAGCCGGAATTTCTCCAGAATACTTTCAACAGGATGGGCAGACTTTCTACTATCTCTGCGCGTGCTCTTGACTCTGGGTGCAACCCTTATGGAAGGAGCCGCAGTTCCAACCAGGGGAGGCAAAACTGGCCAGGCGGTCTGGGAGGACGGAGGCTGGGACCTTACAGGGGGAAAGTGCTTTTGTTGCAAATGTGCTCGAAGTAGATGGGACTCTCGTTGGACAGTTTGTGCTTCGCCCCGATTAGCAGGCATCCACTCGGATTTTTCGACTTTCAGAAAATCTGAGAGGGATGGCCTAAAAGATGGAGATAATTCCTTTACGTTAAAAGGCAAACAAAAGCAACTTTCATATGGTTTGGGGGTTTGCTTCAGCCTGACCTGACTGTGACTGGGTTCCACGAATTACAATAGCACTACTTATTTTCATCATGCTCTCGTCCTATCCCAGCGTTTTGCGCAGCGAATAGGAGATATAAGACCGACTTTTGGGGCTGTGCACAAGCTCCTCGGATCACCTGGCAGCGGGAAAAGTGTTCTGAGTGGGTGTGGTCCGGTGACCTGGTTAGGCGTCATCGCAACTTTGAGGTGAATCCCAGCTCTAATGAGCCATGCGTTCCCAACAGGAGAGATTTAGAGCATAAAGGTGCATTCCCTGGTTCTTGGATGATTGTTATTTCCACCGTACAATGGCTGATGCCACACGACGTCTGCTCCTTAAGGCATAAGGCTGAGTGAGGATGCAAGGGAGGGCTGTTAAAACTACCTGGCCATATGGTGCGCAACTAAGAATTATATATTGTGTGTACTGATGAGTACAAAGTAGTAAATATAACAAAATTACAATTTTGACAGAACACATGCCGAGAAACGATGGCATGAGGATGTCTGGGGCTGGGTAGGCAGTATACTGGCAAAATAACTTAAAACAGTCATCGATATCCAATGACTCGCAAAGTGCTATTTGCACGGAACACTCCAGCAGCTGTGATCACTAAGACGTGGCGGAAGGGAAGCTCTTGCCTGACCTCCCTTCATGGCAGTTTGATGAGTAACAGATGTATGTAGAATCTCGGACATTAGACGGTTTCAGTACATCCAATGTCCTACGCATTCAGCTCGTTCTGGAACTAAAACCACTACCATCATCATCATCATCATCATCATCATCATCATCATCATCATCATCATCATCATCATCATCATCATCATCATCATCATCATCATCATCATCATCATCATCATCATCATCATCAGCATCCTCATCATCATCGTCATCATCATCGTCGTCGTCGTCATCATCATCAATATCGTCTTCACTACAGTCATCGTTCTGAGGAGAGTGCTAGAAAGTCTTGGCATCCACCCTAACTTCAACCTTCCGAATGGTCGGCTTAAAAGGGAAAATAAGCAAACAAGCAGCCCTCTTTTCTTGACGCATGTATTAATGAAATGACAAGCAGACGGTAACCTACAGACGGCCTTCTTGCTGACAGTCAGTGACACCACACAGATTATAAATTAAAGCAGTCTCCTCTCCCCACCACCGCTTCGTGGAGGCAGCGATGACTCCCTATGTTCCGTTGACAAGAGGAATTCCAGCAAACTGTATAAAGCACGGCGGCTAATTTGACACAAAACCATCGACTGCACGTGCTTTACACGTGTCGGATCCCCCAGTTGTTTGAACCGAGGCTCCTTACCTCAAATCTCACGTGGGCGGCAATAAGACTTCTTTTTCGACGAACTTATCTCTTCAGTTGACGACCTTCCAAGTCGTGAATTTTGTCCGTAGTGGGGGCTTAAAGTACGCCTGATTTATGGTAGCCAGGAAAACAGGCATTCGAATGTGGTTGTCCGGACTTTCTTTGTTTAATTTCCGAGGAACCTGACCCCCGGAATCGGAGTAAATCCTTCAGAACAAAGGTTTCTAGGCCCGGTTTGGAAATTTAGATAGGAATATGCGAGTTGAGATCCATCAACTACTGCAGAATAACTGCGTAATATTCACAGGCTGCCAACGGACAGTCAGTAGTATACAAGTACCGAATGGTTTGTTCTCAGTTGCCCCTCCCACTCTTAGCATGCACCAATGGCAAGTGGAGTGCGATTTGTCCCACGCCAGGCATGTGTCAGAGGCAATAGAACGCATAATGCTGGCCTGTGCGTGGGCATCACCCAACGACCCTGCAGGAACCACGGCACACAAACTGAAAATCAAGCATCCATCGCGCGATGAGCTTGTAGGCGCTTCAAGTGCACACACACCCCCGCCTTTCGCAGATGCGTCAGACTAGGAAGCGCATAGGCGCCGCTTCCGCGTGGATGGTAGGTAGCCAATCATAGGCACCCACAGATTCCATAATCAGCCAATCAAATGACCCAGCCGTCACTGACTGAATCCCACGTGACCCACTTAGTCATTCATGCTCATCTCATCTGCTTTCAGAGACGCGCGCGCGCATAAACGTAGGGCCGGCCTCGTGTCTTGGGCTCAAACCAGCAGTAGGCTTTTGTCCAGAACAAAAACGCCCTGCTGGACTTGCCCCGCCATCTCCTTCTAGACGGCACTGGACCCTGACATTGGGGTGATTGGACACACCCGCTGAAGTCCTCCCGCCAGCCTGTCAGAATTTACGCAACCACCTCCAAACTATACAACCCTGGAATGAGGCGGGGATCACAACAAAACGGTGCACCAACTATCGGGGCGCCAGCCACTCTGAGACCACCTCATCGGATACAACCATCATCAGATAGGTCCTAGACAGCCAAACTCGCAATAAGCAGGCGGTAGGCTTCACAAATCTCAACCTTCCAGCCATGAAGATGAGCATAGGCTCAGGATCTTAGTTCTGGAGATGGAGTTTCCTTATCGGAATGGAGCCCACTGCACCATCCATTCCGGTTCGTGAAAATTGAAAAGCCTTAGTTAGCAGCCTTGGGTCCGAGTGCACTCATGGGTTGGAATTGCATTTCGATCCTCGCATTTTAAAAATAAGACATCACAAATGTCAAGGGGTTTCTAAACAGCAGTGGTGAGTAACACTGACCGGTTATCAGATGAAGCGGAGCAGGACAAGTTAGCCCTATGAGTCAAATAAATTCACTCGAACTACGGGGGAACGGGGGTCTTATTTCGAGAAGAACCCTCGCCCATACGCAAGTAAATCACCAGTTCACTCGTCTAAACTAATGACTAACGGTTTCATCATCAGATCCCCTCTATTGAAGAGTGGGCCAAAGGCGTAACTGAACAGTAAACAGAGTTTACAAAATGAACCGCCCAAATGTTCGGACTTTATGTATCGGTAGCTGCTCGTAGAATCTAGAGTACTCGAAAAGACTACCAAATGCTAAATCACAACATGATCACAACAGTGGTAATTCAACGCCGCAGCAATAGCTACCTTACGAATACAGTAGTATATAACAGTCAATAATCCTATAAGTTGGTCTACCGTTGCTCAGGTGGGATATTTACAACAGAATCAAAACCTCATTTTGCCCAGGCCCACAAACTGTTAAATTCGGAAATCTAGGTGATGCTGGAGCCGCACATAACGACAAAAATCCACTGCCAAATTTACCCAATACGATTCTAAAGCTGGCCTCGCTAGAGGGAAAAGTTTTACTTGTATGAAGCAACCACTACTCCGATATGGATTTACAGGCATGCTTTTTTCTATCTGAGACGCACTACCCTGGAGGAGTGGAATTTGTCGGACTACCAATACTGGCCCGTTTTTGTGCTAACCCCAAGTTAGAGGATATGTCTTCAAGGTTGAGCCATGAAGAGTGATCCTTAGATAGATTCCTTGGAGACCTCGTTAAGTTTCCGATTCACTTATGGGCCCTTCGAGACGTCTACTCTTTATCTTATTTCGTGGGAGTTTGTTGACCATACAGTAATCCTTAGCTTGCCAGACGCGGTCAGTTAGGAGCGGATGAATAGGGCTTAAATTATAACGAAAGCCAGGAAATCATAGTTGCGCCACGTGCCTGTTTTAATGCATCACATGATTTCGAATTTAACCTCGCGCAGTATATGATATAGCCAAGGGGAAACCACACGATTTCGCAAAGAAAATGTAGCGCGTCCACTTTAAGGAAAGCTCCCACTCTCCTGGTCACTGATCCGGGGATGGTATAGTTCATCAGCTTTCGGCAAGGTTGCTGATGCCCAATCGTTGAAACCCATTTTACCACCATTCTCGTGTTAGAGGTGGCTTTATGCCAAAGTGAGTGGCTGACGTTCGGGAGGGCTTGGGCGGCTCCCCATTATCAAAGCGTCTTGTGCAAAAAATCATCCAGAATTTTGAATATACGGCCGAATTAATTGGCCCCGGGCCGATCGATTTTTTGTGCCTTGGTCTTTTGACCGTTGTCTGGGAATGTCAGCGGCCTCCTCCGTTGTGTGTCGTCACCTCAATGAGGGTCGGTTGCACCTGTGCTTCCCTTTTGGGCGGATTAGTCGATGGACCGTGTTTGCTCGGTATTTTTAAGCTCCGTGTAACCGTCTTGTCCTGGTCATGACGTATGCAGTGCCGTAAGACTTCATAGGCCGTAGGAAAGTCTAGATGTCTGTTGATCGAGATGGCATTGAGGTGATGACAAACAACGTAGGAGACCGCCAAAATTCACGGACACCGACCAGGAGGCCAAGGCAGCAAAAGGAAGAAAAAATCGATCTGCTCAAGGCCAACTAATTCGGCCGTTTATTCAAAATTTTGGTCGATCTTTTGTACAAAACGCTTAATAATGAAGAGCCGGTCAAGCCCTCCTAAACGTCGACCACTCGATTCCACTGATCCGGTGAGCCCATCATATTTCTCAGA